CTGAAGCACAGCTCTGCAGGACACAGCTGGAGGAGACACAAGGCGTGCATGGTCTGTTGCATTGTTTTGCTGAACTGTGCTCTTTTAAAAGAAATTGGCATGTTGTGTTTATCCATCAGTAACCTTCTTTTTAAACTGTTGGCATTTTGGTTCTGCTATTACTTGTTCCTGCTGGTACCCTAATGTAGACATAGCAGTCTTTAGATTGGGTGCCAACTACTGCTTATCTGTTTTCTAGCTTTGTACTTTGTTACAAGTTGAAAATAGTGTTGTTTTGCACTAGTCAGGAATGATCAGACAAGATTTGTTGATGTTGTAATGCTTTCATATAGTTCAGGTCTTGGAGTCCTTAGTCCAATAATCTGAAGAAAAATATTTCTACCTTTAAGTACTGAATAATTCTTTCCTGTGATGTATTAGCTGATAGATAGTCAAAATGTGTTTGCTTGACATTTCTGATATGCAAGATACTTTAATAAAAATATCTTTAATCTCTGAAATGGATGTGTAAAATATATTAAACTGTGACTTGACTGCTACTTGAAAAGATCATCATGCAAATGTTACTGAACTCCTGCAAGGCTCCGCTGACTTTAATGAACTTTGGATCATGCCCAGATTTCCTAATGTCAGAGTGTCAGGAAAAGTAAAATAATAAGGCTGCTCTAGTGGCATCCTTTCCACTGTTAAAATACAAGAAAGAAGCTTATTTTAAATTTTGATGATAAAATGTGTTTCAAAGCTGCGCCTGGAAAAACGCTCTGTATGGTTCAGAGGTTTCTAAATGCAATGGGTATGTTTCTTGCTAATGTTCAGTACTTGTGAACTAAGGATAGATATCTAAAATTCATTTTTGTCTTCATTTTTTTCATGTGGAGACCCTTCCATTTTTCCATGTTTCCAAGCCTTGACAAACCAGACATGGTTGTTTTCTTTAATTAGAACAAACAACAGAAATCTTACTTAAAAATGTTTATTGTAAAAAAGTGGCTAGAAAACAACATAAATTTCACTTCACACTTTCTTCAAGTTATCTATAGATGTTGCTATAGGCAACAATTCACTTTCATTCATAACACATTCAATCATATAAAAATAAAAATATTTACATTATAACCACATACTTTACAAAATCATCAATAAAAAAGGCACTTGGAGGGGTAATGCTGAAAATATTGCATTTCCTTTGTGCATTTAAAAAAAAATAATTGTCAAACTCCCGTGAACCCCCTCTCTTGCACTTATTCCCGTTTTTAAAAAAAGATTAAAGTTTAGAGGAACTATTCCATATTAAAAGATGGTCAAGCATGCACCAGGAATGTCTGAAGCTACAGTCTATTTTTCTGCTTTTTCTTTTTCAAAAAGGCACATGCGGTTTATCTGTGGCTTTCAACTTTCATACATTCTCTTGCATGGTTTTTTATCCTCTCTTAATTATACAGTTTTAAAGCATTTCAGATCATTAATGAAGGCCTTGGCTTCTAATAAAATAAAATAAGAAACACAGCAATGAATAATATTAAACATTTACTAAGGTAAACTTGGAATACTTTTTAAGGCACCTGAGATAAATGGTGTCTAACAAAATCCTCTTGGGTAGTATTTTTATTAAAAGTTCAACTTAAAATACTGTTTCTTTGGTTGAAATGTCTTGGTAGGAATGTATTGTTAACTTTGCAGCCTTTTCTAAGCAAGAAAAGACAACATACATTTGGCTTCATCTAGAAAGAAAGGTGATAATGCTTCTTCCTTTAGATCTACTTGAAATGTCATACATGGTGTCTCCCCACATTTCAGAATTCTCACTTAAGACTGTGAATATATGACTGAACAGAAACTACTTAAAGCTCATTGCTACCAACATTCTAAGTTCTTCCACTATTTTGCTTGTTTGCTTGTTTGGTGGTGTTCTGTTGTGTTTTTTTTTTGGCTGAAGAGTAGACAAGAATATGCCTTTGGATTCCCACTTATCATTTGGAAGTGGAGAAATGCAAGTCCAGGTAAACATTGACTGCACGACTCAGTGTGCTACACAGCAGCCAGATTCCTCATGTTTGTGCAGAAGAGACATTCTGGAGAAAGTTTTGGAGCAATTTTTGCACTGGTATTTCTTCACATCCGAGTGGGTCTGCAGATGAGCCCTCAGATTGGATCTGTCTGCGAAAGCCCTGTTGCAGTGAGGACAGGAAAACGGCTTCTCTCCTAAAAAAGGAAACATTAAGGGAAAACAGGATAAAGCTTTAAAAAAGAAGTACATGTTTAGGACAGGTAAAACCCACTTTTATCCTAAAAAAGAAAGGAAGGAAGAAAGAAACAGAAAAAAATTGTCATAATAAAGAATGTGCAACGATCAGGCTACAGATACAACAGCTTTCAGCAGTGCTGATTATACATGAGGAACTCAGTCTTTTCAGAATGTGCTGCTAAGTGCAGTTGCTAAAGACAAGCTGCTGACACCTTCTGCATCTGCAGGTGCAGGCAGTACTTCTAGGTTGGGCTCCTCTCAACATTTTCAAATATTTTCATAGAACCTTTCCTGCTTAGTAGTGTGGGAATCACTGGATAGATGGCAGCAAACAGCAGTACAGACATCACCAGTGTTATGCTCAAAATCAAGTTTTTGTTTCAACAGGAAAAAAAAAAGAAAAAGAGAAAAAAAAGAGTGCTTTGGTGATGATGCATTTCTAATTCTTAAGGACTTGAGATAGCACATGCAAAACTTGCCAATTGTTTAAGGAGTCAGAAAGCAGCCCCTCATGCATTGCCTTTATGTTTTGCTGCTTTATTTCAGAGTCAGCTGGAGCCTTCTCAAAGTTAGCAATTTCAAAAGCCTGGCAGTTAACATATAATCCTTACAGCAAAAGGTTCAGCTAGTGGAAATGGGCTGTACCATTCTAAAATTAGTAAGGGAGCAATGCTGACTTATGCCAATATCTGGCCCACAGTTAAGAGACCATGCTACACTCCCCCTGCCCCAGTCCCCCAGGAGAGAGAATCTATAGCCTTCTAAATGATACATTTGAAATTCTACATGTGCATTTCAAGGTTAGTACAGAAACACTGCTGTTTTTTCCACCTGTGGAGAAAAATAGCGAAAGGACACCCCAATGTTCTAGCAACAAGACACTGCAATAGCAACGGTTGTACTTACCAGTGTGAGTTCTAATGTGTCCTTGAAGTAGCCAGGGTCTAGAGAAAGCCTTGCCACAGATCTTGCAGACACAAGGCAGTGTGTGGGTTCTGATGTGCATCTTAAGCGCTCCCAGGCTGACATACTCCTTGTCACAGTACTTGCAGCTGAATGATTTCCTAGACTGGGCATCACAGTGCAGCTGCTTATGTTTGGCCAACCCAGAGAAAGTTGAATAGGTCTTGTTGCATAAACTGCACTGAAACTTTTCAGCTTCGATTGCATGAGGGTCTGAAAGCTTGGACTGGATTCTCTCTTCTTCATCGCTAATGGGGCTTTCTGAACC